AATAATAAATTCTGCAAGTTGTTTGTAGTAGGAAATAATGATTATTTGTTATCATGAGAAAAAATTAAAATGCTAATTATTGTGTTTTGATCTAAATTGATTGTCAATTGATTTAGGAACTAGATATGAATACAAGTATTAGTATCAATATGGACGATCAATTAATAATTGATACCTTGAAATCGCTACAAAAACAATTGACTTATACTGTATTAATTTTCCTTTTTATTATTGGAAATATTGGATGTATATTAAATACAATAATCTTTCTTCGTCCTTGCCTAAGTTCATCTTCAAGTTCGCGTTATTTTCTTGCATCATCATTTGCTAACGGATTTCTATTGAATATTGGCCTGGCTACGCATATTCTTGATGTTGGTTTTTCTATTCATCCTTACCATAGTTTATCTATTCTATGTAAACTTCGTAATTATTTAATTAATATTGGTGGTTTTCTATCTCAAACATTTCTTCTTTTAGCTTGTATTGATCGTTATTTAATAAGTTTAAATAAATCTCGTTATCGTTCAATAAATACAATACCAATGGCAAATCGTATTATATTATTTATAACTTGTTTTTGGCTGATTTTTCTTTCTCACATGCCTATATACAGTAGTATTTCTTCACGTCATCATTTCTGTTTTTTTTCAAGTTTATCTTATAGTTTTTTTATTTCATTACATAATTTAATTCTATCAGGATTTATGTTACCAATTTTAATGGTTCTTTTTGGTTTATTAACATTAAAAAATATTCAGCGAATTCGACGGCAAGCACGTTCTTGTCGACGTCGTCAACGTCGTTATCATTATTTAAGTCTTATGCTTATTAGTAATGTTTTTGTTAGCGTTATATTTACATTAGTTTATACCACTGGACTTATTTATATATCGTTTTTTATTTTAACTCACGACAATATTTCATCACCACGACAAAAAGTTCAAAATCGATTTATAGCATTCGTTGCAATTATTTTTTATTATGTACCATATTCTATATCATTCTATGTTAATATATTGACATCACAACATTTTCGTCGTGAATTACAAAAGGTGTTGCGTTTAAGAAAAGAAAGATGATTTAATCATTTTATTTTTGTAAAAATAATTTCTTTGTATATGTAATGTAGAACTCATTTTCGTAATTGATCGAATGTATAATTTAACGTATGTAATATACCTCTTTTCGGCATGTACAAAAGACCCTTGTTGGGTACCGGCAAATTTCTTGCCAAGAATTGGATTATATATTTTCTTATTTTGGCATTTTGTTTTTGACTAAAAATTTGCAAGTCAGCTACTTATATTTACAAATCCAATGAAACTCTCTAATATAAATTCTTTTCTAAAATACAATGACAAAATATCAAAAACAAGAAAAGAATGAATTCATATTCGCGCTTGACTAATATATATTGCTTTTTAATTTATACGAATATTTGTTCAAAAACAAAGCTACATAACAATGATATTTATTTGTCAATATCACTATCAATCATTTTAAAGTCTTTTTCAATATCTAAAAGATCTACATTATCATTATCATAATTTTCCTCACTATTATTGGCCTCGTTACGATAGTTTGGTATTTCTTCTTCTTCTTGATCATCTATTTCATTCTTTGATAATTCACAAGTAACCCCCTCAACCACTTCGTCATTATCAACTGTTTCACCGACTTGATCTTCAAGTTGTTGTTCATCTTCTTCAGTACGAATTAAATCAATATGATTTGCATAAGAACCACTACCACCAATTGCAGCAAATCCAGGAACAGTTGACTAAAACAACAAAACAAAACAAACAAATCTAGATTTCTCTCTGACGATTATCTTGTTTATAGAGATGTAAGCCGATGTATTGACCAACGATGATGCGACTGAATCGCTTGAGTGTTGGTAGTGATGGCTCAGCTAATTGGCTTACATTTCCATTTGTTATTATATCTAAGTTTATTTACCGGTGACGAATAATCCCAGCCTTCACCAATGCCCCATTGAGTATCACCGTAGTCATAGCCAGCCTTTAGTAATGGATTATTTTGTGCATTCATTGTTTGACCTTGTACATGAGTTCCAATAAGACCAGCTACTAATGGAAGTGCAACTGTCTCTGTTTTGAGTATTAATGGTTCTGAACTATCATTGTCAGCTAAAAATTCAACAAGATTCATAAAGGCTTTTTTTCGATTAGAAAAACAAAAAGACCTACGTGGATTTATTTCTGTAATTGTTTCAGCATTTTCATCAGCCGATGACGAACAAACATTAGTCAATTTTTCCATATGTAATGCACGCGATGGTAACTGAACAACATAAGTCAATATAACAGTAAGATGATAGAGAAGAGTATAACAACAACGTATTTTTGATTTTTTTCCATAGTGTTAAGCAGTTAACTCAAACTGAAATAGTGACATCAATGGCCAACAGAGTTTTCTATCTAATGTAGCCTATACTAGATGAACTATGGTGGCAAGATTTCTAAAAAACAGGACATGATGGATTTCAGGTCGTAGAAACTATTTTTTAACAATGCATTCTAAAGAGAATAAAATAAGAAGTCGCTGCATTTTTTCCGATTTTTTCATAAAAACTTAAAAGAATCGTAGACACCTAAAAAAGTGTTTTTTTTTAAACCTTGTCATCATAGTTTATCTAATATAGAATGCCTTAGATAGAAAACTTCACTGACTAGTAAAATTACTATGTGAATTTGAACAAATTGCTTCAGAAGATTCCTTTTCACACTTTTCCTGAATTTCTGAAAAACAACTTATCAGAATTGTCATAGACATCTTTTTCCTAAATATTTTCTTCTAGAAAATATCTAGATCACAAAAACTTAAAACCATTGCGCTTTCTCAGCCTCAATAAGTCCTATAGAGCTGAGATTTTATATTTTACACATTCTAGACAGTTTTTTTTAGGTGTCTAGCTATTTTCACCTCTTATTATTTCCTTCCATTCGAAATAGAAAGATCAAAATACTAAAGGTAACTCCAAAACTACATGTATTTTTGTAAAACTTGCCAAAACGCAAAAGTACAATGCATTTAAAAAAAAAAATTCCACTTCCAACAGTGTCTAATACTTGTAAAAAACGTCTCAACCTGATTGAACAAACTATGTCGAAGAAATGAGGTTAATGCTGCATTTTTTTGTGTAAAAGTTGATTTTGAGAAAAATGGAAAATGAATTTTCCTGTATGTATCAAAACTGATCATGTGAGAGATCTATGATCCATACTCTTAGGACTTTTATATACGATCATTAGGAGAATTTCGCATACAAAGAATAATTGCAGAGCGAATTTTTCAGCTAGGAATTTCGAAAGTTAGTTTTAATAAAAGTACTAATTAACAACGAAGAGCCATGATATTTCAAATTTATACCAAAGATTGAAAAAATTTGGATTTTAACATCTGAAAAAGACGAGAATTACCTTAACATAATAGAAAAAAAATCAAAAATATGTTGTTGAATTTTTTTTGCATCATCTTAATTTCAAAAAGAAGTCAAGAAATCTACTTACTGTTTGAACAATATCTTTCATCCATGAACTATAAGATAGAATATTATTATCATTAAAATTTCTCGAATATGTTATATCTAAACAGAATTTTAAAAAACAAGTCTTACTTTAAATCATCTTGATCTTCACATAAAAGCCAAACAATGTCACGATCACGATCTTTTACAGACATTGGAAAAGCAATAAGTGCTACTTCATCATATATATTATCGAGATGAGGAAAATCAGGTAAAAATCTAGACTTTGTATTTTAATAATACTGAATAAAAATCGAATAGTATCTTCATTACCTTGTATATGGACCAATACAAATGTATCGTTCGACATCCTAGATAGATAAAAACTAATTAATTTAAAATAATATTTTATCGAAAGAAACAAATTACTTTGAGTAAAACCATTCCATCAGGTTTTTTATGTTTACTATCAGAATACCATGTAAGTAAACTTGAATCATAAAGTATAAATTTATAGTCTTTCCATTTTTTACTTAATAAACCTCCTATACATATATAATTGAGTAAAGAATATTGAATTTAACATAAAATTTCAAATAATTATTTGCTTACGATGATAATACTTAAGCATGCCTCGTTTAATTTCACTCATGATTCTTTTGAATATAATTCAAGATTAATGAAAAGGTCATTTTCTTTATTGTCTTACTGGTCAAGCCAATAAGAAAATGCATCTAAAGTGTTTTATTTGAAGTGGACAATTGATTTTCGAGGGGGCGCTATTTATCAGTATGATAGAATGATATAGCTTATCTATTTTTATATAATGTCAATCTTTTAGCCGATTATTTCAATCGGTATTTTTTTTTCTTTGTAATAATCGTTGTATAATTGGACATATCGGATTTTATTTTAATCTGTTTTTTCTTTGTGTATGACAAAAAAATAAGCCATTGAAATCTCTTCCAGTATTATTTAACTAATTGATTAATCCAATGTTATTTTGTTTACTTATATAAAATCTCTTTATACAACATGCAATCGAATTTATTTATTTTGTAGAAATTATTTGAGTTGAAAAATATAAACTTTATGTAAAAAGAACAATTACGACAGATAAAAAGAAGAAACAAACAATATATTTTAATTCGGTATCAACTATTAAAATACATGATGAAAAAGTAGATTATATTTTATTATTATGGTCTATTAAAGGCATTGCTTCTTTTTCAGTTGTATGCATTCGTGAGCCTCACGTCAGATTGAGCAATGTATAGTAGCGTAAGAAAAGTCATCAATACCATCATTATGTACACTTAAGATATTGCCTCATCCATCACGAGATATCTTTATGTGTCTCTTATTCAGTACTTTATAACTTTAAACATTTGAGACGTTTATATCGAGAAGAAAGTGATGAATAAAAAAAACAGAGATAAAACGAAAAGAAAATGTTTGTACAAAACAAATAAAACAGACTGAAGAATGTATACAGTTAGTTACAAAAATGTTAAACAACTTAAAAGATAATTCATCTTCAGCTACCACAAATGTAAAAGATAGCATGAAATTAATCAGTGAAAAATTAGGAATACCAGAATGGAAACTAAATGAAAACGATTTAAATGAACCAAATGAAATATTCAATCAAATATTGAATGAATTAAATTTGGTTAAGAATTTAGATTTGGAAACAAAAGAATACTCGGACGAAGAATTAATTGTTCGTATTAGTGGTAGAACAGCACTCTGTGGTATTTATTTATTGATCCTGAACGACTAGGTGAGAAAGCCACAAGACCATTATTACGACAGCCAGATTATTGCCAATTAAACTTACCTGAATTACCATTTAACATGGATTATCATAAATTTACAAGCATTGATGCTAATAATCAATTCGAGAAAATAGTTCAAACATGCGGTTACACTGTAACAGCTTATCTGTCGGCAAGCAAATGGGGCTTTCATCTTGATGGAGGGTTGAATAAGTTAATAAAAAATAGTGTTGAACAGTATGAACAAGATTCAAAAGCATCAACAGAAGTTCATTTCACATATTATTCGTTTCTACCAATGAAATCATTTCGCATACCAATTGAAGAAATGCGATTGTCAAAGAATTAGAAACGCTTGCACGGTCTATAAATAATTTAATGTTGGCAAAAAAATTCTTAAACGATTTTAATTCACACATATCTAGTGGTATAAATCATCTCGGTGGTATTTATTTATGCACAATATCTATAACAACTGATACTTTATTCTCTGTTGATAACTTAGAAAAAATTGGTGTAAATCATTTTAATACGACTATTGCTGCCGGTTTTCAAAGGCTCAATATAGGTGGCAGTATCTCTTACGAATTTTTTGACGATATTGGCGAACATACACAAAGTACACATAAACGAAAACAAGCACAAGTTAAATTTCATATCAGTTGTTACGGTCCACCATGTTCGAATCGTGATTGATTTAATCAAATATTAAATATTCATAGGTCAACTTGGCATTTAATTGATCGATCAAATTTAAAATCACTAGTATCCGTCTGGGAATTGATGAAAGATCATAGAGATCCATACATATGTGAAGCAGCTAAATTTATTAAACGTGCATGGTTAGAACAAGCTTTGAAATACTCTCACATACCTGTAATTGATTGTGAAATTAAACGTGCCATGTTAGATGCATGGAATCCATCAATGATTGAAATTGACTTACCAGTTCAGCAGTTCATGTCTAAACGGGAACAAAGTAATTATCATGATGCTGTAATTAGTTTAGAAAATATGTTAGAAAACGAAGTTTTGTCGTTACCGATTAATGATAATCATAATGGTGAAGAAATAGCAAGAATAATTCGAATTATTTGTCATAGTATTTACAATGCAAACTTAACGGTTGGTGTCAATTTATTACCAGCGATACTTATTCGGGATAAGATGAAAAGTTTTCTACATACGGTTGCTATGATTTGTTCAAACGATACCGAAAAACTGGTTTTAGTCTTACCGGCATTACAACATTTATTAAACAGCGAAACAATTTTAAGATTACAAGAACACAGTACTTACTTCGACGACACTATAAAAAGTTTAATACAAAAAGTTCAACAATTTCAAGAAACAAAAGAAAGTGGTGAATTTGATGATAATCTGTTGACCAGCACATCTATTATCATGTTGAACGATTTAGCAACAAAATGACGAAATATGCATGCAACTAACACGGAAAATGAAAGGATTCTTGTATACAAAATGATACAAATAATAAAAATGAGTTTAATCATAGGTGAATCTGTTGCACAGCAGCAACTTGGCGTATCGAAATAATTAGAAAATATGCTAACCGATCAACGTGGCTGGACAACTGATGGATTTATTACTGAACCATTGACTCACGAAGGAATAAAAGCGGTAATTAAGGATATTGAAGATAAATTAAATGAAATTCAACATCAATCAGTTAATGTCATGCAACAACCAATTGAAGCACAAGAAAACAGTCGAACGGATAGTTCTGCTATGCATCTTACCAATACTATCACAAGCAATGATGCTGAACAAGAAAAATATTCTCATCTCGACTGGATAATTGATCGCCCAGTAGTTAACATACAAATCGATCCCGTTGTCGGACTTATTGACAGGCTTCGTCATAGAATGAAGCTTGATGCATTTTGTCCAAGATCCTCTGCAGCTATGTCAGATGTTGATGAGAATCCACAATTATTAGATGAATGGAGTAGTAATGTTAATACCAATCAACAAGACGAAGAGCAGTCTACAACTGCTAATCAAAATCAAGTTTTTTTATGATATTGAAGATTATTCTACACAATTAAATAGCTTAACAGATACATTAATTTATTTAAACAAACAGTTCCAAACTCACTTCGAAAATTGAACTTTTTCGTTTATTACTTGATCGTCGATATGCAATACCAATCATTACGACAAATATTAATCAAATATATAAGCAGCCATTTCCTTATCATATTGATGCTTTAAAATTCATTCCATTGTCTTCAACTGATCATAAAATACCGTATTTAGACGACAATAAGAACTTATTTGTTTCAAGAAAATCAATCGCAGAAAGTGAAACATCTCATTTAATCTCAATAGCATTTGGTAGTCATTCAACGCATGAGTTGCCACGATCGGATAATGTCCGATTGATAATGTCCGAAATTGCTGAAGGATACATAGATGATCAAAATGATAAAAAATGGTCATTTCTTGTTCTACATGTAGTAGGAGATTACACAAAATTACGCTCGTTTATATCTGAGTTTACAAATCTAGTAATTATTGAACAAGATCCATTGATAAAACAAGTTTCAGAAACTTTTTCAACAACTTGTTCAAACATGCCTGTTATCATTTGGAATATTTCGCAGAGCAACGTAAAACGAAAACTCGAGCATCGGCATTACGCGTTAACTGGCACAATTAATGGTATAGTCAAGAACGTACAAGAAGCATGCATCGCTCAACTCAAAAATTTTAAAGGCAATTCTAATACTTTAGGTTCAATCAATAATACAGAATTATTGTATCGTCCAACACTAAGCAAGATCAGTGTAGTTGTTGTTATTCAACGTCAAGACTATTCGACGCTAAGACAAGAGAAATTCTTATTACAAAAGAGTTTTAACATTGAATCAAAATATAGGATAGAATTAAATCGTTTAAAAAATGTCTACTCCGAACAGCGTGCATTGGAGAATAAAATTCGAGAACAAGAGCAATACCATCAATCTATTATGTCCGAAGTAGAAAAATTAGATATCATCAAGACTTTTATAAACATTTTACAACATTAAAATTTCGAGCAGAGAATGGTAGCTATAAATGAATTGATTAATGGTATTGATGATTATTCAGCACCAGTAATACAAGATATGTACAAAAAAAAAACGTGATGAAGCATCTCATGCATATCAACAAGCAGTTAGACAAAAGACAAATGATGACTTTTATAAAACGAAATTTATTAAAGCTAAAGCTACCTATGCAGCCACTAGTGTTTCTATAGAATATTTATGGAGAGAATGTAGTCAATTATATACTTGTGACCCAGAACGATACTTTTATTATCCAGAAATGGCTGCACAACATTTGATTGATGGATTTTCAATAGAATTATTAGATGGAGATGCTGGTATGATTTGCGCTAAATGGATTCGCACAGTATTATGTTCATTAAACAAGAAACTACAAGAAAAAACAAAAAAGAGGAGCATAAAGATTTTTGTTTTAAGCATAATAGGCGTTCAAAGTTCTGGTAAATCAACTCTACTGAACATTATGTTTGGTGAACACTTCCTTTCAAGTGTTGGTCGGTGTACTCGTGGCGTTAATATCCAATTAATTAAAGTAGAAGATCGTGATGAATACGATTATATATTATTAATGGATACTGAAGGTAAGAACGAATAATAATTACAAACAAACTATTTTTTCTTGCCATACAAACAAATATCATTAGCAGTAGTTTGAGTCAGAGTTGCTCTTGAAGAATAAATTTCTTCTAGGTAAGATTTCTGAGAAAATACAACATCAATCAATTTGAGGTTTGCTTGAAGTATATGTGAATATTATTTTCTCATGATAGTTTTGATAAGATAAAAGCATTAGTTAATAAAGAGAGATTTATTTGTGTAATAGAACACTTGTTATCTGGATTCAAAGTTGTCAAACTGTGGTAGAAGTGAATAGTACAGCCTTTTATTAAGCAAACATGATATTGTAGACATGGAGATCATGATTTATTTATATCAAAGTTATGTGAATATACATATTTCTAATAATACTATCTGATCTGTTCATTTAGTATTATTTACGCACTTCTACGAACTGATGTATACAGTTGTTTTTTAACAAGGCCATAAAATCTATCTGGCATTTTCAGTTCTATAGTAAATCTTCGTTTCATTGACGCAAATATAAAGTAAAACTCTGTAACTTAGCAGGCGAAGTTATTACGTAAAGTGTGAGTCTCCATATTTGATAGAATTCGATTGTCTTCTTTCAGGTCTTCATGCACCTGAATTAAAAGATTTAGAAGAAGCGGCATGGAAAGATAATCGAATGGCAACATTTGCTTTTTTTTGCTAGCGGATGCAGCAATAGCTCTTGTCAACGGAGAACAAGATGAAACATTGAAAGACGTTCTTCCTATTGTGATGTTAGCTTATCAACAATCTGAACTTGCTGAAAATTATGGTAGTGAACTAGCCTCCATGATGTTCTTTGTGTACTGTCGTGTTGATGTGAAACAAATTGGTCATCTTATACCTAATGTTCAAGAACTATTTCGTAGTTTAACAACATCGTTCCAATCATTACAATCTTCTATCAATTTAAATGAAAGTAATCAAACAGAATGCACATTATTTCGAGATTTTCGATTAGATATAAGTCATTATAACGATGGTGATATTCGATTTCTTGGCAACATCAAAAACAAAGATGGCACTGTAGATACAGATTATGGTATAGCTGTAACAAAATTGCGCGAATATATTCATAGTCGTGTTACTTCATCTCAAACGGCATCAGGATGGAAATGGACAGCTCGAACTTTAAATGATTTCACTGAATTTATAGGTACAGTTTGGCAATGTATAATATCCTGCGACTTCAATTTAACATTTTCATCAGCAAATGAAAGAAAAGCCTATGATCAATTAGATACACTCTTAGCAGAAGCAACACATAAATATGATTCTACTTAAAATTTAGCATATGATTCAATTGAAAGAGAAATAATTAGAGATACAGAAACTGGTAACTATGTCGCGCAAGAACATGGCGATTATGAAAAAGAAAGAATCGTCAGACAAAAAATCGATATTTACTCCGATAAATTAAACGCTTTCATAAGTGAACCATTAAAAATAATTGATAATAAGTTTATTGAATCGCTAGATGATCCACACTGGCAACAATGGAAAATATCTCGATTAGATTCCTGGAACCAATTTAAACACAAACAAATTGATCATTGGAAAGAGATTATTAGTGAAAAATTACATTCAATTTATATATTTGATATAATTGTTGGTCAATATCAACGATGTCTTCGTTTTCAGATCAAATTTTTTTTTCAAAATACTGATATCGATCAAAAAACAATCATTAAATGTGGATGAGCTTCAAGCCTTATTTGAAAATTTCTTTGACAAGATCCTAAATGAAGCACATCAAAAACATCGGCCTGTTCGAATCGAACAAGTGATTACGGATGTTTATAAAAACAATACAGCTGGTAAGCGATGAGATTTAAAAATAAATTACATGGGATTACAGATGTATGCAGAATTGAATTCAGAGGTCGATAAGTATGAATTTATCAAACGTAATGTGCGGAATGCAGTAGGTCGATCTACCGAACGAGAAAAAGAATCAGAACTATTAAGTCAATTATTAATTGAAATCAATGAACAACTGAAACCACTTAAATGTTATTCTTATCATATTGTACAAGATGCAATAACAAGAACAAATAAGAAATTAACTGAATTGAAACTTCGCTCTGATAAAATTGAAGGAAAAGCACATAATATCATTTATAAGTTTTTAATCGAACGATTCACTGAAATACAAAACAAATGGAATGAATCAAATAATATTGTTGTTCGTCTGAAGTCAGAAAAAAAATCGTTCATATGATTTTTTTAAAAATGCATCAAAGGGTATTGCTGGTGCTCCATTATTAACAAGCGAAATAATAAATATATTAAAAGAACATTTAATGAAGACTTATACGAAGGCCGTTATAAAACATGTTGTATTAATATTACAAAATGAGCGATTTATTAAATGTGGAAAAATTATTCAAGCTTATGCTGATTTGCATTTAATCGAATTGATTAAAAATGATCAAATTGATGAATTAATCAAAAATTTAGAAGCATCTGCTGAACATTATACTTTTATTTTAAATCGATTGATTCAAGAAAAATTAGTTAGTTCGTTGAAATCACAGTGGCTATTATTTCTTAAATTGTTAAAAACTAAGATTTCATCAGCAGCTGAACAAGTACAAACAGTTGAAACTCACCGAATACAACTATTCATTAACAAATTACGTGAATTACTACCAATGTATTTAGTTGAACAAATGATTTCATTAGATGCAACCGTTTTTAATGCTTGTGATGATGAAAATAAAAATGTTTTTAATGAAATTCAGTCTAATATTATACAATGTATTGATGGTTTCGAGTGTCCAACTTTTACCGAAGAACGAATTAAAGATATTATTGAATCTATTCGTTCAGTTATGGTTGATCGGCAGCATAATAATAGTGCTAAAATGCGATGTGGTATACTATGTCCAACTTGTAAGGTACCTTGTCACTTGGACGCTGGACATATTATTTCGAGTGTGAAACTGAAAGATGAAAAAAGACCCGCAACAACTAAAGCGGTTGATCTCGCCTTAAAGGCATTACAGATGCATAGGAGAGATCACCATGATGCATGCCATCAACCAGGAGGTGTGGCTGGTAGGTATTGGAAAGAACACCCTACCCAAATTGATGAAATAGTTGCACCATCATGTTCGATGTCAGTGCGTGATGGACACCGTTTTTGGTATAATAATCAATTGAATGAATATAAAAAATTTAATAAAGTATTTCCTGAATGGTCTTTACCATTATGTGACGACAATCATCGTTAAAAGTTACGTGAATATATTTTTAACCGATATCATGAAGACTTGGCACGCTACTATGATCGATTAGCTTGTACTGCAGTTCCACTCGAATATAATCATAATTTAGACTCAATAGAAAAATAATTATTAAGTATTGTTGAGGACGTGTGAAAAATATAAAATTATTTTTTTAAACTAGAGTAAATGTATTTTTTAAAATGAAAATATAAAAATAAAGATTGATGTAATCAGTATGCTGTTTTGTCAACTTTATGAGTTCATTCTATATTTGCTACAATTTGAAAATTAAGTTTGATGCTATCATTCAGGCAAGCAAAGGAGGGATGAAAGCACTAGTCGTCTTTTAGTCAAAATGTTCTGGCATATGACGAGTCTGAAATCATTTGTAGCCCACTGCTCATGCTTCGGTTGTTTAATCGACAACTGCGATTTGGTTTGTTGTCTAGTCTTTTTGAGAAAAAGACTAGCCACGTAATAGCGTTCTAACGCACGTCCAAAATTGATTTAAAATAAAAAAGAAAGAGCGCCCACGACACGCTGCATACAACGCACAGTAGTCTTATGTAGTGATCAAGTCTGAACTAAGTAGTCTAAGTGATAGAAGTATGAGGGAAAATGTTAGATTCGATAATGCATACAATATGTCACTTGCCAATCGCGCAGTCAATTCAACTATGTAATCAAGTGATCAACTTCTACATATCGATAAACATTCTAAGATGCTATGTAATACAATTTTATTCAGAGTTTTTCGAATTTCGCGATGAAAAAAAATTTTATCACAGAATACCGAGTTAGTTACATGCAATTGAATAGAACTAATTTGATTTTTTTCTTATTTTTCAAAAATTTTTTCTCATCACTGACGTCTAGAAAATTTATTTTCCATTGAAAAGAAAAGCTAAACATAAAGCTAAACAAAAAATTATTAGAAGTTTAAAAAAATAATTTGTTCACATTATGACTAAAGTTTATTTCAATTTTATATTTTGTTAATTGAAACTGAAAAATAAACAGATATTCTTGTAATTTGCAGATATTTTCAAATTAATCATGAGAATCTGTATTCAGACTAAAATATAATTATAGTATAAAGATGTAAGAACTATTTTTAAAGTAAATAATTTCTAGATTCATTTTACAGCCTGATACATTTTAAACACAATTAATAGATTATTTTTGTCGGAAAGTGACCAGAATACTTTGCATTTTCATGCGTCTTTCTGCTTCGATATACGTTTGCACTTTTAATGTAAAAAGAAGCACAAGTTTTACTCCAGAAAGGCACTCGACAAACTCTTTGATTTGAAACACACTAAATTGCGAGTTTGTACAACGAATAAAATAACATATAGAACAGCATACATTCGTTAACTATATTGAAGATATTTTGGACTAACTAACTTGCTTTTCTTCAGTTATTTTCAAGTACATAACAAATAAACGCGCGCTACTATGTTATTTTGACTGTTTAAAATGACACCTGTCTGTTATTTAATCGTGCTTTGCCATCAGATGTCGAATATTGTCGGATCAAATGTTCGAATCCAGATTTCGTCTTATTAGTCGCTCTCCTGACTAGTCTGAACGGAATGAACAGACAAAACGGACTAGACATGACGGATGCAAAGACGTTTCGAACTACTCCGTCAAAACAAAGTTGAAGGATGTTTCTCAAAACGACGACTAGTCCTAATGGATATGCAAGATGTCTCAAACTAAATCTGATGGATCTGTGGATATTTTAAACTAATCTTGTACGGCATCTTCAATTATTTATTGCTCACCTGATATGGACAGATGAACTGATCATACCCCATATTTTATCGACAGTGAATCCACGAGGATTCCCGGTTAATTGCTATTCTTCTGCTTAATTTTTCTATGTGTCTCTATTCATGAATATTATTAAACTCTCTAAAAAGTTACATTTCATTCGAAGTTGTGTTCCTTTGCTATTGCTGTCGGTTAGTTTTCGAGTTTGATTACTTATTAAAGATCTCTACATTAGTTTTTATTGATATTAAGAAAGAAATTACTTCTTGTCGTCACTCAAACATGTAAGGCAGCATTTTTCAGCAAAGGCTTCAGAACAAAAATAAAAGAGAAATTGCCCAGACATTTTCATCACAATAAATATAACAAGAGTCTAGCTAGCTCATTGTTAACAATTAGATAACATACTACTTGAGGATGATGTAACGGCAAAAAGATAAAACAAATAAAAAATTTGTAACAAGAAGTGACACATATATAACACTACTAAGCTACCTTGCTATATATGTGCGAGAAAAATACACGACCAAAATACGATCGTAATACGAGCGTCGTTTACAATGATCTTATTCAGTGGATCGTTTACGGCAATCGTATATAGCCGTATTACATCGTATACAATCGTAGATTTTAAATCAGAGTTTTAAACTTTTTTCATACCTTTTGTAAATACCTAAAGCTTTGTCAATTACTTAGAAATGTAAAGTCATTAAACAGTCTTCACTAAATGAAAGAAAGAATGAAAAAATGTGCTGCCTAAACTTATTCTTTTTCTTCCTTTTCGTCTGTGACCTTATTTTTCATTTATGCTGATGAATTGGTAACTGGGAGTAGAAAATTTTAGTATAACAGTGGCATGTTTGCAAGAATTACAATGTATACAATTTATTATAAGGTTTGAGCTTCGAATATGATTAAAAATTTAAGATTTCAACGTGATCATATATAATAAACATCAACAAACCTACAAAATGTGTCTTTTCGATATCCTAATATTTGTACAAACACATGATCATGATTGATTGATATTATATAAACGATATGTGCATTCTTAATTTAAGCAAAGCAATGCATTTTTTTCACATAAATAAAAGTACAGAGAATTAATTTTCACGGAAATAATTGAAAGTATCGTATGGCAACAAAGCTGTTATTTTCATACAATAAGATTCTACGACAATGTGTCTTTTTGATCTCTAGTTGTTAGTTATATCCTTTTTTCTATGTTCAATTTGTTTATATATTCCACTTATAGATATTTTTCGATCTTATTACTTTATCACATTTTTGGTTTATTCATTTTTGTTTCTAGTGAACCGATCGAATTAAGTATATCTATTATGGTTCTCGAACAAATTACAATGGTTACCATGACACATTCTCAAGAAACATTCAAGATAATGATTACAACAATAGGAAAAAGATCTAAAGTCTGAGATTATGTCAAAAAAATTTATGTAAGCGGCATTTCGAAATCTGAATATCTTTATAATAATTGTAAAATACAACTTTTAATACCAAATATGTTAACAATTTCATTAAGAAGACATCTAGATTATTTTCATAATTTCAACGAGTTTAAAGTAACAAAAAATAGCTTACAGAAGAATCAGAGGAAAATTAACTTATTCATTGGAAAGAATAGTCGAATTAATTAACAATATAAACAGTAGTACGAGATGAACACTATTTCATGGAATTCGACAAGCCAGAGTTCAAAGGCTCCTACAATTTGCCCTTCCTGGTAAAAAAACTTTAGAGTTATATAGATCCTTTTGTTCAACTTTTCACATTAGTTGGACTGTTGGCTAGGCCATCGAGCAAGATTTTTTTTAATGGATTTTTTCAGATTCGAAGATATAACATATGACACATTTTGTGTAGCCATAGTTAAGCTTGCCTTTGATTCTTTTCCTCTCAAAACACTTTCAAAAGTAAACTTGTTCAAATAGAAGACAAGGAGAAGAAACTAAACAATAGAGATCCCATACTTATTATAGTTGCTGTGGCAAAGAACATTCTAAGAAGAGAGATCTATTACCAAGCCTGTATTCAGGGAAAAAATCTTTCAGGTTTCATGCAGACCTATCGAACCTATAAAACATTCCGCAGTTAGAAGAAACATTTTGTGAAACACCATCTGAAACGAGTGTAGAAGTATAAAGGTAAATATTTGAGTTCTCTTCCTCTCCTCGCCCCCTCCTCTCCCCCACCAGTCCGATACAAACTGTAATAGATGCCAGGCAGAGACCATCACAGATCACGATACACTTGTTAACAGCATTCCTTTCTCGGTCGGAGACCGTAGCAGATGTTTATTGATATACGATCAAAGATAGCATATCAGTAAAGTCTCATTCTAATATATAAGCTACTTCTTTATTGTATTTTTGAAGGATAAAGTAGAAGGATGGTAAAGAAACGTGTTCCAAAATAGAGAGAATAAAGTAATATCCTGTGCTAGACAGCAGCAACTACATCGTGTTTCACATGTTAATTTCGCATAGATTGCGCTAGCAGATTTTTCTTGAAAAGCGGTTGTTTTTTTGTTCACCACTGAGCTCGATCTTATCGTAGTCAAACGGCTTGGGTTTGGTACATGTCTAATTATTATATTTTGCACTCTTTCTCAGACACAACTGTAATTACGAAAAATATAAAACTTTGTCATATTATTTGCACATACCATTTTTCTTTTTCTAAAATTTGATCTCCTTTATGAAAAGATCTTTTGAATCGGCAGAATGTGAACTTGCAGCTGTTTTAACAACTCTCAAAATCAGATATTAATTGTTGAATCGTTGTTTAGATCACTTTTGCCAACTAATACAGCTATTCAAGACTCCATATGTATTAAAAAAATCCGCACACGTTAAACGTCTTCTTTTATCAGAACCATCCGCTAACTTTACATTACCAACTTCTTACTATTCGAAACGCAAAAACTGCCTTCTAATGAAATGCACTGTTCAAACACCAGTTGCGCACAATATAAAGAAATTGATATAATTACATCTGTTTTCACTTGTTTCCTTTACGATCTCAAATACGATATGTATTGTTCAGCATTCAGTCATGTCGTCTGCAACAACAATCTAACAACATATTGAATCATTTTTCTGATATTTCTGAAGTTGGAATATACGAACGATTGTTAGAAGAAGAAGGCAAAGATTTTATCTCTATACTTATGAATGTTGATGCTATTTAAATTATCATAAGCTTCCGATCTTAACTGTGGTTAATCACGTTTAGCGTAAACGAATTAACAAGATTAGAGGGACTAAAAGAAACAAAATGTGTCGGTTGGGGGAGTTGTGCCTGGAAACACAACGCAAACATGAGAAGAAATGAGTTTATATTTGCAGTCAATGATTGATGAACTTTTAAATTTAGAAAACTTACATCGTCTTGACATTAATCAGGACGCTTATATATTTTTTAAGGTTTTTATATTAGCAAGTTACTGTGATAAACCTGCACAATCGACCACTCAAAATATTTCTGAACGAAATAGAGCTTATGGTTGTGGAAAGTGTATTATTAAGGGTAAATAATTGACTTCTTCACTTATCAAAATAAATCAGAGCATTTTGAGTAGCTGTATCGTTTAAATGTAAAAATAGCTGATGAGAAACAAATACAAGCAACAAAAGAGGAGGAAAATAATTTGAAGTTGTTTTAGAATACTTGAGAAGATTTTTCGAAACAATGTCAATATGTTTCTTGATTTACTCTTAATTTTAGCATTTGACATATGAGATAAATCTGTTTCCAAAATTTATACGAAAAAATTTATAAATATTCGATTTTCATTCTTATTTGCATGATCGTATTATGCTTCTAATCTTTATTCTGCTTTTCAGACACTTCGGTACCTACCAATTCTGATTCTTCAAATAAGATGCGAATTTTTTTTCCGTTGGGGAAAAATGGCTAGCAACCCAATCCAAGAACACGCTCCACTTATGATTTAAAATGACAATACCAGAAAAGTTGTCACCTAAAAACAAACGTTCTCGTCGAAGTTTTATGTGTGCATATATGGCTGAACGCTGCTTAAGAGATTTACATTACTTTGATGTTGGTAAATCATTTCTATTTGTACTATGAATAAATATGAATTGATCATAGTCTCTATTTTATCGACAGTGAGTCCATACGAACTTTAGAATTATTTATTATAGTATATCTCATTCTATTCAAACTGCTCGAAAATCTCCGGTTAACTGTGATTCTTCTACCGAAATCTTTTTGCATGTCTCAGTACATGATTATTCTTGACTCTTAGAAAACAGTTAGATTTCACTCGAAACCGCGTCCTTTGGTTATTTTTGTCGGTTAGTTTTCGAGTTTGATTATTTAGTAAAGAATGGCGTCACAAAAATAGTCATTAGCTAGAAGACTTGATCAGCAAGAAAAGTGTGGCGCCATCTGACAATATATTGCGGCATATTAACATCAACGTTTTTGGGTTGAAATCGATCTCTTTAAGAATGAATGTATTAATTGGATAGACAAATTATAAAAAATTTGTTAAAAAAAGAAGTAAACTCGTGAAACTGTCGGTTCCTTTTATGAACTAACGACATGCGATAGGCATAGGCGCCCCTTTTTTGACGGCGAGGTTAGGGGATCTTAAGAATTAATTACTGAGGCAAATCATTCTAAAGTAGAGCCCTCCTGTTGGATAATCGTTTTCGTATCCCAGTCCCGAGCTGAAAGTTTTCAAAATGATCCAATCCCAAATGCCCTGTTCCAATGTTTTTTTCGAATTCTTCCGTAGAATCCCGTTTGTTCCGTTGACTGAAAGGTTGCTGACTGTACAAATCGAAGTAACTGGCTTATTGGGTTTTTACTAGCTTTGTTGCTATGACAGGTTTTTCTTCTTGTGTTCGGCACATTAGTCACGACTCAAGTCAGCCATTTCTTCTTCACATTCAGCCATCATTTCACAAAAAGAAAAAGTTTGCCGACATCGTGAGAATGTCTCGAATGCACGTTTGAAAACTGTTTTTCACAAACTCGTTCCGTTTGAAGGCTATAAAAAATTCTGAAAACGATAATTAGCAGCTGTGAGTTTCTTTATATGACAATAGTTGGCTCAGATTAATCATTCCTTAACTTATCAACAAAGCCAAATTAGTTGAATGCGACTGAAACTCATTTTAATTTTCTCTACGTAAATTACATATTTAGAGATAACTGACGCGTATAGGATCACATTTGGACATTTTTCGGGCTCGTGCAGCCAGCATTTTTTTCTACTCAGGCTTTCCTCGAATGACAGTCTGTTTGTTTCTCTGTTTATTTTTCCGTGATTTATTTGAATATTGAGATATCTGTTAGAATTTAAAAAAAGTAAAGTGCACGACACGTTTTGATAAACGAATTTAAAAAAATCAGAATTCGTTTTTTATATGCTCTGGGTCACGATTGACTGCTTCCGCAAAGTTTTGTGAAACTCACATATATTTTCGAAGAAAATAGTGAGTGTAAGTTTTGAATCGAGGTTTTCCGGCTTCTCCCCATCCCCTTTCCCATAGACCCTATGCATTACAGACACCTAGCAACAGACTCCCCATTACAGACATTAATAATCGCCCCTCCTCTCGCGAACCCTAACAATTGTGGAAAGAGGAAGCCAAAAATTATTCCAAATGTTTCCATAGCAACGAGAAATAATCCGTAAGTAATAGTAGTGTTGATACCATTCTGAAACTTAGTAGATTCTAGCAGTTTAGTGTAAATATTGCACTGTTTAGCTTTTTGTGCAGCAAAAGGATCTTATTGAAGGGGTTAGTCCATAGGATGGTCGTCATTTTGATCTAACAGGGTCGGACTTGAATGGACCTAGGCAAATATGAACTGATTGAATTCTAATTTTAGACAAAACTCAGCAGTATATGTCGAAATTCGCCGAGAAAGGATAGCGTGAGAAGTAGATTACTGAGCGATAAAATCAATGTATATAGTAGGCTAATATAGTAGTTGAATCGATGAAATGAAGACTTAGATTATATTTGCCGCTGTTTATGGCATGTATCGTAGATATATTATCAGTTAGAGAAAAGAAGCTATGGACACAAAATGTATTAATACTATAAATAAGGTTTTGCAGTATAACATGGTTAGTGAGTCAAATAAAGTGTTAGATAAGGAATTAGAAATGTGAACATTTTAGAAATGATGAAACTCCAGAGCGCACGTATCGACTATAAAAAATGTTATAATTTTGACTTATTCATTTGATTGACATTTTTTTAAAATAAATTATTATGAAAGCTCTGATAATATATAATAAATTTTTAACAGTCAAAGTTCGTGAGTTCCACACTTTGGCCCCGCAAGGTACCGCACTGACAAGTTTTTAGATACAATTACGATGGTCTTACAGGACATAGCAAATAGGTTTCTTCGGAATTCAGAACTGTCCTGTAGCACTATTCTAAAGCCTCTCTATCTCTTGATTTCTATTTGAAATTAAGTGTTGTATTTTTCCTTTAAAAAATCAGGTTAAAATCAATTGGATCATCCTATGTTAAAAAGTCTACTATAAACAGTTATAGAATATGTGATCGGCTTTAATAAAAACCAGATTTGCTTAAATGAAAACTTTGAAATTAAAAAGCATACGACAATTTTTAACTTGGACCGCTTCTATGTAATATCTGTTTGATAATATTTTTTACTATACGGTATACGAAACGACATAGATAAAAACTACACGTTTCTATGCTATCAGCATTGTCCTACAAGATTGTCATATTCGTCCTGCTCAAATTTTATAATTCAACTGTGCTCCCACATGTGAATAGATCGCATGTCGTTCGCCATCTCACTGCTTTGCTGAAATATATGAAAGTGGAACTCAATAATGCAATGTAGATATTTCTAACAGTATTGAAAGTAATCATAAGTCTGCTAAATATCAAATTTTTTTAGCGGATCGTTTCTGCAATTCAAACCTTGCAAGTAAAATATTAATAAGATATAGGTGATATTTATGCTGAGTAAAAAATATATAAAAATTGTTTTTATATTAAGATAGTTGTTAAAAAAGTACTTCTTCTTTACAAATAAAAAGTATGTACTGAGAGTTCCAGGCGAAATTACTTGAATTGTTTGTTTTCTTAATTTATTGATTTCGCACTTTTTTGTCTGGGTATTCGTTCTACGACAAGAGCAAATTTTATGCTTTGTTCATGTTGACCTTCCCTTTTGTTTGTTGTTTCTTTCGAAATCGATTCAAATGGAACAACACTCCCTACTAATTTCGATTTTTTCTTTTTCCTATGAACATGTTCAATCCGAACAGATGATAATTGTGACATTGTTTCGTGTTCCAAAACATTATTTAATGATGACAATTTGATTGCATTCACTTGCGAAGAACGATATTCAAATGCTGATGTTCGATGATTTGATCGAATACGTTTAACATGAACTCTATCTTCATTTTTTTTCGATAAGCCAATTGAAGATCGAGTTTCTATATGTTCATCTAACCGAATCGTATTTTCAATAATCGATGAATGACAAATATGAATTGAAGTTGAATGTACTCTTGTGAATGGTGAAGGTACATGAGTAACTCGAACAGCATCTATCGAATCAACAACGGAGATTTCTTGGTGTTGTTGTACTGATTCATTATTAAGCGTATCTAGTTTTTTCTTTGTTGACGATTTTATTCGAGATACTCGCACAGTTCCAATATTGATCGATCTTTGAACAGATGAACTAGTATTTTCATCAGGTCTTCGAAGCGAAGATTGGATACATGGATTCGATACACTGTGTATTTTGTTCACTTGCTTAACTTTTGCTAGAGACGCATCATTAAAATCGACTGATTTTGATCTAGTATTATTATCATCCATTAATAGAAAATTTTTAGTATGAAAATCAATTATAACGAAACCATTTTCATTTTGGTTCGAACACGATGTAGTGGGTGTAAGTAGTTTTGATGATGATACACGATCAATCGTAGAATTATTTGAATGTTGATTTAAAATATCATACACAAGATATTTTTGGCATTAGTTGAAAACTTGATGTTACGTGAAATTGATGCACATGACCATTGACATTCTCGATCAGTACATCGATCAATATGATATAACTCAAATGGACCATTTTCTTCATAGATTCCCCAACATGTACGTATACTAAATAAAAAAAAAGGAATTAAATGAAAAAGATGCATTGTTATTGTTTAAAACAGACCAGCAATAGTGCAAACATAAGCAACTGCATAATATACTTGTACCAAGAAGAAACAAGCCGATAATAGTTCCAATTATTGGCCAACTGATAAGATCAACTATTCAAAAACCCAAACTAATCATTTTTGTATACTTGAAGAAAAGAAAAGCTTCTGCATACATTTTTTATTGTTGTAGTCATCGAAGTAGTAGTAGTCCTATTTATCAAACATAGACCATATTGTAAACTGTGTACGTAAGAACAAACACATACATAACGTACGTTGAAGTTGTTGATGTTGTTGATCTATAGAATTAATTATTTTTTCTTTCTTTTGTTAATAAAGAAACCAATGACTCACGTTGTTGAAGTTGTGCTACTGGTTGAACTACAATACGAAGAACGACTTAACCTTGTTTCGTTCCATATTAGATCACTTACGTAGATGTTGTTATAGCTGCTGTTGTTCTTTAGAAAAAAAAGTAAATATTATAAAATATAATTACATTTCTACTATTTACGTAGTTGTTGATGTAAAAATCGGATCACCAGGACAATTACTAGCAGCACTTTGTGACACATAAAATTTGAAACAATGTTCTACCGATTGTGAATTTTGACTAAAAAATATATACAATTATTTTTACTTTTGTTTGCTTTAGTTATTTACCTGTCAAGAGCCATGGTACATATAACTTGATATCCAAGTTAATCTTTTGTTGGTGTTCATGAGAGAATTTTATAATAAGTCATTGAATCTTGTTTAATAATATTACTTTTATCCATTTCAGCAAATGACAATGTTGAAATATCAATAATACTAACAGAAGCGTCACAATCATTAATCGCAATTAAACATGATGTAAATGTTTGACCAGCAGTTATTGGTATACATGATTGTTGAGAAAGTTCATAAACTTGTGGTAATATGGAACATGATGGTGGAGCGACAACATGAATAAGAAACTGAACAGGTATTGAACTAAGTGGTGTTGCACTTGATGGACTGATAAATTCTTCAATCGATGAATAAAAGGAGAGACTAGTAGAAAATTTAAAATTTCTTTACAAACCATCACTGTAACAGCAAACCAATCATCCACATTAGTACCAGTAATGATAATTGTACAATTTGGAAAGATTAAAGTACCACTTGGTAAAGATCCAGGTGGACAAACATCTCCACATTCAGTCGTACCACTTGACCATCGACCACGCAATGTATCTCCATCGTCATCTCCTACTGGTGTATGAATAGCTGTTGGTTGATATTGAGGAATATTTATAGGAGACATGACAGTTGCTACAGGTGCATTATTATAAAGACCATTATCAGATCTTGGTGTTAATTCAACTCGTGATGCAATGGACCAACCGGCTGCAGAATTAGTAGCTAATGAATGCCAAGCTGAACTAGCAAATGCACCAATAAAATCAGCATTTCTTGGAACATAGACAATATCAGAACGTTGAGCCGCAGTAGTGTTTTGTACTGTAGAAGCATCAGTACAATCAGGCCAAATTCCTGGAGCAACATATCCAGTAGCTGTTACACAATTAAGAACACAGTTTACAGGTTTTCACATAACCTTTGTCTCCCCCCCTACACCACCCAAGTGACAGATAATATCAGAAGGTTTTTATACCAAATTAAAGCCCGTGAAAAACTGCATCTATGGGTATAATTAGATTAAATGTAGCTTTAGCGATTATTAAAATATTTTGTACAATAGATTAAAATGTCGTGGATTACACAATATAGAATCAATCAAAGAACNGTATACGACACGGTCTCACACGACCGTAATACGGCGCATACCAAACGGGTTATTTACGGCCCGTATACGGTCGTAATTTCGACGGATACGGCCGTTCACGTCATCGTAAACGACTGTGTACGGCCGTTTACGGGCACAGTAATGTTCGACCTGGGTACTATTCAAATATGAGGAACTTTATATAAGAAGTGACAACATCTTATATAAAGTATGTTTAATTGATCGACTCTGAGCAGTTTTAGAACATGTCATCAACTTTAATAAAAAAAAACCATCTTTGTTCATATTAGAAATCAGAAAATAAAAAATTTATGATGAATATTCATTTTTCATCGATTCTGAATGATATCTACTTAACAAGGTTTATCTCTCTACGACATATGAAGCACTATAGATGAAAACTACACTATTGTATGTTATCAGCATTGCCATACAAGATTTTCGTATTTGTTTTGCTTAATTCTATACTTGAATATCTCTCCGACAAGTAAAGAAGATACATTTTATTGTTTTATTCAAATATATGAGAGTAGTACTGAATACTTCATTGTAGATATTTCACACAATGTTAAAACTAAACATAAATCTGTTCTATATCAAAATATACATATTCTTTTAAGCAATATTTTAGTTGTATACATTGAGAAATTTGAAATATTATAGATTAAGTATATATGAAAAACAATTCCTCTGAACTTTTGAGGTAAAATATCCATAAATATATATGTGATATTTATGCTTAACAAAAAAATATAAAAATTATTGTTACATGCAGACAGTTGTTACAAAAGTTTTTCTTTTTTAAAAATGAAAAAAATATATATTAAGAGCCCCAAACGACATTATTGGAATTGTTTATTTTTTTTATTTATTTCGTACTTTTTTCTCTTCGTATTCGTTCTACGACAACACCAAATTTTATGTTTTGTTCATGTTCATCTTTCTTTTTATTTGTTGTTTCTTTCGAAATCGATTCAAACGGAACAATAGTTCTTACTAATTTCGATTTTTTTCTTTTTTATACGAGTATGTTCTATCTGAACAGACGATGATGATATCGTGCTGACGTTCGATGAGTCGATCGAATGCATTGAACATGAACTTTATCTTTATTTTGCTTTAATGAACCAGTTGAAGATCAAGTTTTAACATTTTCATTTAATCCAATTGTGTTTTCAGTAATTGATGGACGACAAATTGGTGCTGAAATTGAATGTACTTGTGTGAAATATGAAGGTATACGAGTAACGCGAACAGCATTTATCGAATCAACAACGGAGTTTCCTTGGTGTTGTTGTACTGATTCATTATTAAGTATCTAGTTTTTTCTTTGTTGATGATTTTATTCGAGATACTCGGACAGCTCCAATATTGATTGATCTTTGAACAGATGAACTAATATTTTCATCAGATCTTTGAGAATGTACTGGGTATTTTATGTACTTTTTTTAACTTTTGTTACAGATACATGATTAAAACCGATTGATTTTGATCTAGCATTAGTATTATCCATTGATAGAAAGCTGTTAGAATGAAAATCAATCATGGCTAAATAATTTTTATCTTCGTTTGAACACGATGCAGTGGGTATAAGTGATTTTGATAATGATACATGATCAATTGTAGAAATATTTGAACTTTCCTTTAAAATATCATACAGAAGATACTTTTTGCCTTCGGTTGAACACTTGATGTTGGATGATATTGATGCGCATGATCATTGACATTCTCGATTAGTACATCAATCAATATGACATAATTCGAATGGACCATTTTCTTCATAGATTCCCCAACCTGTCGATATACTAAATAAAAAAAAAGAAATTAAATGAAAAAGATCCATTGTTGTTGTTTAAAACAGACCAACAATAGTTCCAACAAAAAAAACAGCATAATGTACAAGTACTACGAACAACTAAATCGATAAGACTTCTTAATAATGACCAATTGACAGGATCAGCTATTCAAAAAAACAAAAGCTGTTAGCACTATCCTTGCGCAGTTAAAAGATGTGTGACACGATGTAGTTGCTCTTGCTAACCAAAAGAAAGTTGTTTTTATCTATGTATTTTGGAAGATATTTCTTCAACATCCTTATACTTAATCTTGCATAAATGCAATAAGGAATTATTATTGATGGTAATATTTATGACACTCGGGTGTTTTTTGAACAACTTTCTATCACAGCAAGATAGATAATGTGCAATTTTCAACGTGTGATAATCAAGACACAGGCGTATAATTTCATAGACCAAATTATTCTTAGAGTATATACAACGGTTGATTTTTCAAGATGTCCTTGGAAGACTTCCGTTAGACTTCTGAAAACTACCATATGAGACTATCGATTATTCATCTCGGTAAATAGTACAAAATGTCCCCTACAAAACTGACTCTGTACAAATGCTTTGTCTTGCAAGATATAGAAGTATCAGGCAATTTTCTCGAAGTCTGAGGATTCCTCTTCCTTTAAGTATGACACTATTATAAATATATGAAAACATAGATTATTGACTGTGCTGAACGCCGTTGAAGCATATGTTTTCATTTTAAAATTACATATTTTTATTTATCATACCCATAATTAACATATGTTATTTTTGTATGAAAAAAAATGCTCGTATGACGGACGTTGGGTGGATGTGCCGTTGAGGTAAGCTCGGAATGTGGATGTGGGTCTTCAATTTCAGCACGTGCACATCAACACTAATGATTGAACTGTTTTTTTTCTAAGTAGAAAATGAGTTTTTTTCAGATTCTGTATTGTATTCAAGCGGAGAGAGTGCATAAATCGTCATGAAAAGGTTTTATTGATACAAAAACACCATATATTAATTGTAGTCGAGTATAATCAATAAAAATATGCGATTCTACAACGAAAACCAATATTGTCATGGCGCTCATCATAGACGATAACCTATGTTTTTTTATGTGTTTATAATAATGACATATCTAAAGAAAGAGGAGTCCTCGTGCTTCGGAAAAACTGCTTGACACTTCAAAATCTTGCAAATTAAAAGATTTGTGCAGATCTAGTTTTGTAAGGAACATTCTATGTTATCTATGCAGGCAAAAAAAATCAATAGACTCCTATGTTTATAGTTCTCAGAAATTCAACGTGCTGTTCCAAACATGTCTTGAAAAACTAGTCGTTGGATATTTTCTCAGAAAAGATTTTGCTTAGGAAAATATGCACCTCAGTCTTGATTATCACACATTGAAAACTATAGGTTTCTATCTTATTCGTACGGAGAGTTATTTAAAAAATATCTTACTACTTTGAATGGTAGCCTTCAGAATAGTTCCTTCATTATAATGATGCGTTATTGATATACCATCTTTGTTCGTATGTCCACAACGTCTGTCATGATCTGTGATGAAGAAGACCCGTTGCTAGGAATGCCTATTATGTCCACGAAGGGTTGTTACTAACACAACTATCATATCTGTAATAAGCCGTTTGTACCATGTCTGTCACACGGTCTGTGCGACAGAGAGAGAGTCGAAAATTATTAGTTTCTATTGATAAATTTTGAAATTTTGTTACTGCTACTTATATTTCATAAACTGGTCATTTTGCAATTAATTAATGATAATTTTTGCACTGACCACTTAAATGATAGCCAACAAAAGCTCGATATTAAGTTATGATGGAAAAGTAATGGCACAAAGTGCAAATTCCCATTTCTCTCCCATGGAAAGATGCAGAAAGAAAACTATTTTTATTAAAAGATATAGTTTTTTCTTCTCTTTCGAGCATTGTATAATTTGTATTTGTCACATATTCTTATATGAAACTAGACAAGAACAAAGAGAAACACTCGCGCAATAAATTTGTAATTTTTACATGAACTCGTTAAAAAACATCTTGTAAAACGACGATCAATTGTAATTAATTGTGGCCTACAAGATGTTTCTAACGAGTTCATATGAAAATTATAAACTTATTGAGTAAGGGTTTCTCTTTGTTTTCATCTTGTTTCGCTTACCAATGTGTGGTAAATATGAATCATCACACTCGGTTTGAAAGCGGAAAATATTTCCTATGGACTAATAAAAAACTACTCTTGTCAGAATCCATTTATCGAAGAAATATAAGTATCGATGTTTTGTGCGATGTTTTTATAGAAAACTGCAGATGTTTTTCAAGAGTGCTTCTCTTTTCTGTTATATTGTTTCGTTCATGAACTTGTGATAAAAATAATTTGTATACGATTCGAATGAGGCGGAAAAAGCTCTATCTCTTATGGTAAAAAAGTTTTCTTTGAGCACCATTTTGTCGAAGTGACATAGAAATCGACATTTTTGCTGTTATTTTTGTATCGTATGTTAGCTTTTATAGGATTTCCTTTTTCAAAGAAGCTTTTTTTTGTTTGTGTCTCTTTTTTTCTGGTGATCATATGACAATAAATAATTAAAATTTCGAAGAAAACATTTCTTTATAAAATCTAAAATCGAATAATTTATTTTTTATTTAAACTATCAAATAATTTGTTGCAGTCATCATTAATAAATCATAAATCACACTCATAGTTTTTTATTAAATCACAAGTAATAATGTCTATTGCTTTAGTTTTTGTATTAATTTTTTTGCTTCACGTTCTCCACTTTCAAAAGCACTATCCACACAACCAGTTGTTCCATCATAATTTGCATGTTCACCTGCCCAATATATTCGATCATTACATTCTCGAGTAAGATCAATTAAAGTTTGATTATCTGCACCAATAGCAAAATTAGAATAAGCACCTTTTGAAAATTCATCCTGATTCCATCTTGTAATAAGAAATCGAATTGGTTCAGGTACATCTCTGTCTGAAAATATAGCTCTTAATAACATCATAATTTCATCAATTATTTCTTTATCATTTTTTTCTTCAAATTCTAATGCTATTCGAGCAGCAAGTTTAATTTGAAGTATACAATCATTAGGTCGACATAGAATAAAACGAAACCGTGGTGATGTACAAAATATTGAAGACCATGTTGGATCCCAAAAAACAAATGGAAATTGTAAAAAGATTTTATTTGAGAAACCTACACCCATTGTATCGATTGCATTTTGTTTCCATTCCGGTAAACTTGGTATAAATTCAATGGTATGAGCTTTTAAACACCCAAGTGGAATTGTAATAAGAATATATTTGCATAGAAATAATCTTCCATCTTTTGTATGTATTCGAACTATTGAATCTGATGATGAAGTATCTATACGAGTAACAATAGAATTAAGTTCAACAGGTAATTGATATTGTTGAACAAGATTTTCAATAAATAGACCAAAACCATTTGGCATAGCTACATTACATTCATTAATACCATTGTCAGATAATAAAAAAGATTTAGCTGATAATTGATCAAGATTTGATGCTTCATATTGTTCAAGAATACCAAGAAATAAATCAATTAATCGTTTCATTTGAGGATCGTTATCATAATTCATATATTCATTTTTAATAACATCATATATTGATTTATCTGTTGAAAGTGATGATTCTTTAACAATATTACATAATCGATGAGAAATTTCTTCAGCTTTATGAACTTTATCGGAAGATATTCTTGTACCATCAATATCAAAAAATGGTGTTGTTGATGAACGTAAAATAAAATGATTATCAATATGAATATCTTTTGATATTTCATGATATTTATATAAAGGATTTTCCGGTCGAAAATGATGTAGCCATTGTGCACCTACATCGATAGATGTATTTATACCAAATGTAGTTGTATCAGTAACAATACGACCACCAACACGATTACGAGCTTCGAGTAGAATAAATTTTAATTGTGGAACTGTCTGTAATTCGATTGCTGCTGCTATTCCAGCAGAACCACATCCAATAAGAATAACATCGAAAATTTCACTTGTAGATGTCATTATACATGAGATATGAAGGATAAGCAAATAAAAAACTAGGTATATTAGCTACCAACTAAAAAAAAACAAGCTGATATAGTTTAATGAAAGACACTCGAAAAATAAGAAGCTAGAAATAATATTATAGTAAATGATAAGATGTTTTGTTTGGCTTCATGCACGTTGTTTCTTTTTTTTAAGGCTTTGCTTTTGCTACAAACCTGGTTCGATATTAATTTTCAATTTAACTGACTTAAGTAATACTAAACTATTATCACTGTGCGACGCCACGTGTAATACGAACGACGACCAATAGACTCTTTCAAAAATAGACATTTGAGTACGACAACGACGTCTGTCGTGATGATCTAACCAACGAGCTTTTTTCGACATGCTCCTGGCAATTCATCAGAACCTTGCCGATATGAAATCTTGCAATTTTCATTTTCAAATAGTGGAAGAAGAATCACTAATGAACTACATATTCAATCGTGAAATTTTTATTTGAGCACAAAATTTATCAATGTACGATCTGTTTTATATTTGTAACATTGAAAGAAAAATTAACAAAATTTGCATTTATTTTAAACTTCAAAAGTTTAGTTCTAACAAAAAATTATAAATTTTTATCTGTATAAGAATTTCAATGA